CTAAGTCCTGGCCACCCCGCCCCCAGCCCCCAGCCAAATTGGTCCCGAGGAGTTGCGCTCGACGGCCACTCCCTCAGACATTGGAGGGGTGGCAGGGGGCCACAGACCACCTGGCCTCGATGCGACCTCGCAGCGATCCGAAGAATACCACACATGACCCCATATGCCCCACGTCCATCAAGTCTTTTCTGTTCGGGAGAGTGGTATGGGTGGGCGGATCGGAGTCGTCTAGGCCCGCGTCGTAGCAGATCATGGCGCCGCAGCGCACGCTGCGGCCCGACGCCAGCGCGACGTCCGCGCAGCGGAGCTGCTCCTGGGCAACCGCGTGAGGCAGGCACGCAGGGAGGACGAGAGGGGGAGGGCAGGGTGAGCGAGGGGGGGGAGCGGAGGGGGGAGCGAGGGAAGGGAAGGAGAGGGCGACCAGGGAAGCGGGAGGGGAGGGTGGGAATGAGTTAGGGACCCGGGATCATAAACCCAACGCCCGTGGGTCCCCCTTGGTGACGGGGGTGGGGGCCTACTCGGGTGCCCCCGGGCCTTCTTAGGGGGAGAGGGAGGATAGAAGAAGAAGAAGAAGAAGGAGAAGAAGAAGAAGAAGAGGAAGAAGAAAAAACAACGCCATAAGCATTAAATGTTTGGCGCTCCGCGCGGATTTGTTTGGCGCCTCTGGAGCGCGGAGCGCGCCAGGGGCGGCGCCCGAGGCGCCGCGGGGGGGGGGCCCAGCGCGGATCCAAGGAATCCGCGCGGAGCGCAAAAAGTTTATGTTTATGATGTTCTGTCTTCTTCGAGACGAGGAGAAGGGGAGGCGAAGGAAAGGGAGGAGGGGCTTCGGCTTCGGACTCGGATGACAGCCACACTGCCGAAAGAGGGAGGAGCTTGGCCAGACGCCGGTCGCCAGCCCACCCTCGGCCTTAGACGCCTCCAGGGACCTCGCGCGAACGGCCGCCGCCCCCACGGCACTAACGGCGGGGGGGGGGCTTCTAGGGCACCCCCGAGCCTGGCGAAAGGAGAAGGAGGAGGAGGAGGAGAAGGAGGAGGAGGAGGAGGAGGAGGTCCACCGGGACCTCATGCAACCAGGAACCAGTGGAACCAGGAAGAGGATGATGATGATGATGATGATGATGATGATGATGATGATGATGATGATGATGATGATGATGATGATGATGATGATGATGATGATGATGATGATGATGATGATGATGATGATGATGATGATGATGATGATGATGATGATGATGATGATGATGATGATGATGATGATGATGATGATGATGATGATGATGATGATGATGATGATGAGGAGGAGGATGAGGGGGAGGAGAGCAGGAGGAGGAGGAGGAGGATGAGGGGGAGGAGGAGCAGGAGGAGGAGGGAGGAGGAGGAGAAGAGGAGGAGCAGGAGGAGGAGGAGGAGGAGAAGAGGAGGAGCAGGAGGAGGAGGAGGAGGAGCCGAGGGCGGCCCGCCGGCTGCCCAGGCCGGCCGGCTGGCCGGCCGTGCACGTGCGCCCCCTTTTCGTATTCATCTTCGACGCCGCGCTGGGCGGATGCCGCCGATGACGATGAGGGGAAGGGGATGGAGGTCGACGAGGCAGACGTGGACGTGCCAGCGCCGGGCGCTGCTGGAGCCAGCGGCCCCGCCGCGCGGCGCGGCGCTGCAGGCGTGCAGCGGCGGCGGGTGCGTCGGTAGTGGGCGCTGGAGCTTCAGCCGCTTTCGCAGCGGCCAGCCGCGTGCAAACAGTGTCACATTGTCGCATCCCCTTCGCGGAACACGAGCTGAGCTTATGCTCGTAGGGCAGCAGGCAGAGTCAAAGCTCGTGGTGCATCGGCTGCACGGCGGCGAACGTGGCCGCCGACGATGTGATCCGGCCCCTTTGGCGCGCTGGGCAGGAGCACGTGGAGGAGGCGCGTGGGGCCGTGGCTGCAGCAGCGGCGCGCGAAGGAGGATGAGAAGGAGCAAAGGGAGGAGGAGACGGGGGCGTTGCGGCAGCTGCGCGAGCAGAGGCTGGGCAAGGCACCGTGCCCGTGATGCACCCGGCCTGGGATACACCAGCGCTGCTAGACCGCGCGTGGTGGGAGGCGCTGCCGTGGCGAGCCGCTCTGAGCACGGGCGTCTCCACCTTCGTGCAAGTCCCGGACCGCTACCGTGGCGCGATGGTGGCAGCGCGCCGCAAGGCGCTGGAGGTGCTCCGGAAAGCCGACGCCCAGGGGCCCGCCACCGCCGAGTGGAAGATGGTCCTGCTCTTTGACCTGGTGCTGCTTGCGCGGCCGCGGGGGGACGGGCCAGCCTGCGCGGAACTTCTGGAGGAGCGCCTGGCGCTATGGTGGGGCGGTCAGTGGGCCGCGTTGTGGGCCTCCGCTACGGGCGGGGCCGCCGGCCCGAGGGGGCCAGCGAGGCCCACCACGAACAAAGAGAAGCCGCAGCGGGTGCACACCCTGGCCGCGGCTGGCTGGGCGGCCCGAGCCTTGGCGGCAGCCGCGAGCGCCCCGCTCCCGCCGCGCACCGCCGATACGTTCGACCAGCTACGGGGTTGCTTCCCGGAGGGCGGGCCGGGGCCGCAGCTGCCGCCCGCCGCGCCGCCGCGCGCGCCGCCCGACGCGGAGCTCCAGGAGCAGGTCGAGAACGACGTGCGGAAGCTGCTGCGGCGCCCCCCCCTGGCTCGCGGCGCCCGGCCTGCTGGGCACGCGACTCGAGCACCTCGCGGCCAGTGCCGGCGACAGCGAGACCTCGCGTCTGCTAGCCTGAGTCGTTGTGCGCGTGGCCTTCGGGGAGCTGCCCCAGGAGACCCTCCGGGCGCTGACTCGCAAGGGGCGCCGGGGAGGTGAGTCCGCCCTCTCCTGGTGGGGGCCACGCTCCGCCGTCTCGGCCTGCGAAGGCCCGGGCGCGAGAGACGCATGCTCTCCAAGGTGGCCAACGAACGCCAGTGCGGGGTTAGACGCGCGGGGTAAAGCGCCTCCAAGCCCAGGCAGAGACCCGGGCGGGCGCGACGTTCATCAAGGTGGACGTTGCGGCCGCGTTCCAGCGGATGGCGCGCAGGCCTGCCCTAGAGGCCATGGACGCGGCTGTCCCTGAAGTAGCCTGGGCGCTGTGGGCTTGGTACGCGGCGGGCCCTGCCGACCACTGGTGCCGCGGAGCCGGAGGGCGCCTGGAGGTAGTGCGGAAGTACCGTGGCGTCGACCAGGGGGACCCTTGCCACCCGCGAGTTTCGCCATCCCGCAACGGGGGGCCCTGGAGCAGTTCTTGCGCGAGCTGCAGCAGGAGGACCCCGATGCCAAGCTCTACTCCTACCTCGACGACACCTACGACATGGTGCGTACTGACCTGGCGCTCTGAGGGCTAAAAGCCTTGCAAGCTGCGCTGGCGCCGCTCGGGCTCGAGCCCAGCGCGCGGAAGACGCTGGTCTGGAGTCTGGCCCCCAGCAAGGGCGCAAGCCATCCCAGCCGAGCTCGCGGGCAACGTCATGCCGACGTTGCCCGTCCTGGGGGCGCAGCTCCAGGCGCCGGGAGATGCCGCGGGCGCTGCGCTCAACGTGGGGGACAACTCCAGCGGGCTCGACGAGACGGCGGCGCGCTCGCAACGCCTCTGGGCGCGCTCGCAGGAGCTGGGCAGGGCGGCCTCGCGCGCCAAGCGGCCGGCGCGCTCCTCCGCACCTACACCGGCAACGCTGGCCAGCACAACCTCCATCTGGCTTTGGCGTCCGACGCCGAAGTGTTCCGCTACGACGCGGTGCTGCGCGGCTGCTGGGAAAAGCTCACCGAGCGCCCTCTTGGGCCTGAGGCGTGCCAGCTGCTGGGGCTGCCGGCGAAGATGGGCGGCGCTGGCGTCCAGTGGGCCGCCACCCGCCGAGCGGCCGCCTACTGCAGGCAGCCAGCGAGGTGCGCGGCGACCTCGGGTTCGCCGCGCTGGAGGACACCCTGGCGGCGCTCCCCCGGGCCGCGGCGACGCTGCAGGCGGACCGCGCCGAGCTTGGGCGCCAGGGGGCGGAGCCGGCGCCGAGCGCCCCCCCTGGCGGCTGCGCTGGGGGCCCAGACTCGGCAGAATGTCCTGTTTGCGGGAGTGCGAAAGACAACCCACGCTGCAGCTGAGCGGCGAAAGCGCGTCCGCGGCCAGGGGGCCTTCCTGTCGGCCGGAGGGCCTGGCCGAAATGCCTGGGGCCTGGGCCTTCTTGCAGTGCCCCGCTGAACCAGCTTGCGCCCTGCAGGAGGACGTCCGTTGGGCGACGGCGCTCCGCTGCCGTCTCCACTTGCCGCGACCAGAACTGTTCTGGCGACGAGTTGGCGCGGGCCTCGGCGACCTGCTGCAACCAGGCGCGCGCGGGGGCCGTCTGCGCCGCGGCGCTCGATCCTGACGGGTTCCACGCGGCCACCTGTCAGCGCGGCGGCGGCGTGGCCCGGCGCCGTGGCGACCTTGCCCTGGCCGTGGGCGGCCTCGCAGGGCGGTGCTGGCGCTGCGAGCCGCTCTACGAGCAGCGCGTCCCGACGTGGGACCGCGCCCGCGCCCGCCGGCCAGCCGAGGGGCCCGGGTAATTACCAGATCCTCGAGCGGGCCGTCCTCGATGTGGAGTACCCCGAGGAGGACGGCCGCTGGTGGGTGGACGTGACGGTCCGCCACCCGGCCGCTGGGGACGCGGCCGCCGCGCGGGCCGCAGCGCGACGGGCCGGGGAGGCTTCGCGGCGCGCCGAGCGCGAGAAGCACGGGCGGTGCCCTGGCGATCGCCTGAGTGCATTCGTCGTGGAGACCGCCGGCCGCCAGGGCGCCGAGGCACGCCAATGATTGCTCGACCACGCGGGCGATCTCGGGGAGGACCAGCAGGCGCCGGAGCTGGCGCGGGCCTACCGCGTGGTTAGCGCCGCGGTGCAGCGCAGCCAGGTGCGGCAGCTGCGCCGCGCGGCCGGGCTCCGCTGAGCGCTGCGCGGGCCGCCGCGGCCAGGCAGCGGGCGCGGCAAGGAGGGCGCGGCGGAGGCGGCCCCGGAGCACCGCGCGGCGGCCGCGCGACTTGCGCGGCCAGCGCGAGGCCGCCGAGCAGGCGCCGCGCGGGCGCGGCCAGGCGGCGGGCGCGCGGCGGGCTGGTGCCCAGCGGCGGGACCGCGGGGCCCTGGAGAGGCGACAGGCGGTGGGGCCGCAGAGCCCATGCCGCGGGCCAGGCGGCCGTGCGGGCGCTGCCCCACAACGTCGGCGCGTTCGCCTTGGCGGTCCCGCGCATCGGAATCTATCAGCCCCGGCGGGCGCACCCCCTCTCTCGGCTCCAGGACCAGTCGCCGCTGAGCGGCGCGTTGGTCCCGGGTTTGGGTGGTTGCGCCCGCTCGCGTTCACAGA